TTTAATAACAAGAACAACACTGCCAACACTTACTGACCTACGATGTGTGAAGCACTATTTTGGGGATTTTAACTCATTTAATCTTTGCAACCTATGAGGCACATATTCTATTATTATTCTCATTTTAGAGATTAGGAAACTGAGGCTCAGATGGGGTAAGTAAATGACTAATCATATACGGTTGGTAAGATCTGAATCCAGAAAGTCTGATTCAGAGCTCTAGCTTTTAGCTACCATGTGATACTGTCTGATTTCTGCCTCCCCCCGACCCCAGATGTTTTAACACAAAACTAGGGGCAGGAAAGGATTCAGAAAAAATACATTTTTTGAAGGGTTGACAGTAGAGGTGAACAGCAGATAATCATAGCATCTATTCTGTATTTATGTCTAATGCAGGTTCTTGGATTCTACAAGACTTTCTTTTAAAACAAAGGTGTACATGCAACCAGAAGTAACACGTTTGATTTTATAATGGTGGCTGGTGGTGGTAAGAATATAAATAGTTTTAGAAGCCAGAATGATTAAAAAAATAATAAGGTTCTAGTTAAAAAAACAAAAACAAAAACAAAAACAAAAAACAGTAGTTCTGGGCAACAGCAACAGCTCCGTCGTGACTGTGTGGTCTTAGGTGCCCTCATACGCATCATTCCTGACTTCTTTCCTATGAAATGTGGATCAGGCCTCCCAGGGTAGCTAGGAAGGTGAAGTTATATACTGGATATGAGAGCAATTGGAAGATTATAAAGCTGGGCTCAAACGAAAAGCTTGATTGTTTTAGTAAGAAAGTAACACCAGTGTATTGGAACCATCCTGCAGTAGTCTGATTTTGCAGGAATGCACCATATGCTGTGGGGGTTACTTATGTTGATCCCTTAACTCTCCCTGTCTTAGAAATGCTGCCGCCTCCAGGAAGACTCTGCACTGAGCATGTGCTGCTCATACTTGGATTGCGGGTTTACGTATTAGCTTGTTTGACCGTCTCTCCCAGGAGACTCTGAGTCCCTAGAGGCAGTGGCTACTGTCTACCGAGCGTGGTATGTCCCAGCAGAGAGCTCACTACATAAATACATAATAAATTATGTAGAAAGAATATAATCCAAGAAGACAGAGATTATGTTTTCCATTCCATCACTTCTAAATTTTACATATATAGAGTATGGTGCTCTGCTAGAGGAGGCACTGAATTGCTGAATAAATAGATTACATATATAATATTTAAAGCATCCATCACCCAGCACTGCTAGTTTTAAGTCTGGCTTGTACCAATCTACTCTGAAAAGTAAGTACATACCTCTCTAACAAGAGCAAAGGAAAGTAAAGTAGGAATGCGACCATAAAGCAATGGGACTAATTTTCACTTGTAATCAGTAAAATCAATCTCCTTGTTTTACAGTCACGCCTTGTAAATTAACAGGATTATCTAGATGTCTTATAGCAGTCCTTATAGCTTTAACGAGTAAATCACATATTAAAAAGCTGAGTTCTTTAGCTGAAGGTGCTATTATGAATGGAGTGTGGTCTTCTGGAAGACATTCTGTAAACAGCACTGAATAAATTTGAAAGCCCATTCTTCAAAATAAAAACACATGCAGAAAATATGGTATATATCAGATCCAAGAAGGAAAGCAGTATAAATGACTTCCCGCAGGTAGTGGGTGTGGGCAGGACGTGTCTGGTACTAAACTAGCTAAAATCGGTTATGCTAAAAATATTTATGAAATAGACTGAATAACTTTTGATCAGAATTTCCATTTATGTAAGACTTATACTTCAAGCTTCTAATCTCATCATTAAACAAATATTTAGGTCTCTATTATGTGCCAAAATTATGTACTAATCTCCAAAAGTTGGCAGTAAACTATTTAGCAATTCTTCAGCCCGAAGCATACCCCCGCACCTAAACTCATCTAAATTGACATGTTATGAAAAGTAAGAAATGCTAAGACGTCTTTTAAAGGGTGTTACATTGAGCAAGAGAATATAAACATGATCTGTAAAATGGTGATAGAACTACACTCCTAACTTAGTTCTAACAGGAAATGGGGTTCACAAACTCAAATTTCTTAATTATTCATATCCAAGAGTTTATAATCTTAAAATCTACACCTGGGGAATTGAAAAATACTATTATAAAATTAAAGTATAACTTTTGATCATTTTTATGTCATTTATCAACATTACTACTGAACTAAGGATTGATAAGTTCAGGGTCTGAATATTACATACTGGGTGTTAACATGTTCAGTACTGGGTATACATATGTAAAATGAGTCCATGGGAAGGTTATATTGCTTAACAATAGCACTCTGTAATATGAATACAATTATCTCACATGCACCATTTTGCAGAGAGGAATGAAGAAAAAAATTCTGGAATCACAACAGAGCTGGGCTCTGCCTAGATCATCCTACCTGTGAATGGTGTGGGTCCTACTCTAACGGTGCACCTGGGCAGTCACCACTGTCCTCATGGTGATTTGCTATACACTATGGCAACGGTATGTGTGGTTACAAAGTATTGAGGCGAAACTCACAATTCTGGCATCACTGAATACATGTAAAAATGAGCAATCACAGATTATTTTTCCTATCCAGTAATTAATATTATCTGGCAGTTAGTAAGCAGTAAAAATTGGGGGCAATGGATTCAAGGGTAATAGTGATCATTTCAATGGCTTGTCCACTCTGAATAGTGAAGACAATCTGAGTATTCTGATCATCTCACAGTGTGTTTGGGAAGTGCAAGATTACACTTCAGAGATTAAGGACATGCACCGCCACCCTTGATGTACTGGTTGTACCTAATAACCCATTATGGATTTATCATTCAGCAATGTAATTAGAGTGTCTGTAAACAGGGTTATAGCTCCAACCTAAATTCATCCTTGAGGTTATGATTTCCCCGAGTCTATAAACATTTGTGTAAAAGAGTGAAATACAATGCCCATGAGAAGAAAATTAGACTGAACTACTTTTGACTATCTCTCCTGTGATAGAGATTAAATAGAAGTATGTGTGTACTCAAATACACACATGCATACAAACACAGTCTTTTTAAACTGCATTACCTTTTATACACCCATTTTGAACCTTCCTTAATTTTGTGGTTATTTGTGCCTCCTCACACATTTTTGAGGGAATTTGCTGGAAGAGTCCCACTATCAGCTTGGCGTTTGATTATTCAGCTTAAAGTGGTTTCAGTGTCTGAATGATTTCCCATATTTCAGAAATTCTGAGTAGATTCCTATATTTCATAGGATAGCTCACTGGTAACTTAAAGGTTCCCAACTTGAAGTTATCAGAACTCCAGGAGACCGCAAAGTTGTAACATTGATTTTTTTGGTCAACTAAAACGGCAACTTATTGTCGAGTCTTTAAAAATTATTTAAGAAACTGTAACCATCATAAAATTAATCTCTAGGAACTTCTGTCCTTTAGACTGCTTCATTCACAGAGGGGTTTAGACACGTACAACTACGTAAATAAACACATCAGACAATAAACCCTTCGTGGCAAGGAGCTCTACCCTCTGTCCTGTTTATATGTCCCAATACCCCTAATGTAGAGCACTGTCATTAAATCTTCATTAGCAATGTGAACAGGTATACTATCACAAAAAAATCAGTGTTCTTGACAAACAAATCTAAGACTGCATTAGTTGGCAGGATTCAGAAAAGCAAGAGGTTCTCCTAGGCCCTCACTTGATTCTTCACTCGTATAACTGAGAATACTTAGATTCCCAGAGGTGCACTATGAAGTCAGAAGTATTACTCCAGTAGTATATCTCCAGCCAGTGTTAAGAGAAGCACAAAGCAAAGTCAGTGAGACACATTACAGCTCTAAACCTTTCTTGTCTAATATTTAAGTAAATAACCTTTTTCTGCTTGTCAGAGTCAGAAATCCCAGCTGCAACACAAATGGACAAAGATAGAAAAAAAAATAGCAGTGGGTCAGTCTACTTTTATGGAAGGGGATTTCTCCAGTCTCCTGATGGCAACAGTAACTATTTACTGAACTGTACACAGTCTCAGGGAGTTCCTCACATACTGTACTGGTGTCTGATATCAGGGACTCCTCCATATTCAGGAGAGGTGGAGATTCATCTGCAATCTCAAATAGAGTTTTCAGCCACACAGTCTTGGAATGCAGCAACTCAGTCAGCAGAATACATCTTTTTCTAATTTTTGTTGCAATATGTCAGTTTTTTAAAATTTATACTTTAAACAAAGGCAGAATAGAGCACATGCTTTCATTTGGTTTCCATCACATTCATACAATGTATTTAACATACAACTTGCACCAAAATATCTTCACCTTCACTAGCACTTAGCTTTGTGTGTGTCTGTATGTACATATACAAATAAAAATCTGTGTGAAATAAATTATGTAAAATATTCAAACTATGTCATCTTATGTGGTTTTGTACTGCACCCTAAATAGGTGTATAGTACATACGTACTGTAATCTAAATAGGTACTTGAAACTACAGACTCACAGAATAACTACAGCACCACTTACTTGATTGTTAAAGCAGTGGTGAGAATAATTACATGTTATATTCATAGATATATGTAAATACATCCCATGTCCCTTTATATATAAATTTACAGTTTAATTACTGTGATCAGAGACAGGGTGCATAACTGAGTTAGTGAGCACTGCTCAGAACTAAGGAAGTAAACAGACCACAGAAAATCAGCTGAGTAATAAGTGCTTTATGACTCCTCATTAAGTAAATGTATTTACCTTTCATTTAATATGAAGAGGTTTTCTAAAAACGATTTCAGTGCTAATTTTATCTTTAGCTTATTGATTGTATAGCATAGCTCACTTTGTTGCAAACTCTGATGTGCTGATGAAAGTATTTGGTACCGATTTAGGAACAGTCATGATTAATGATTAGAGGGAGAAGAAAAGAGATAAGAGAAATCTTAATCTAGGAGAAAAAGTTAAAAAGGAAGATGGGGACTTTCAAAAGCATTTTAAAGAACAATCACATACCAGTTCTACTCGTCCGAAACCTCCGACTCCAAGGGTGTCAATGATGTTGAAATCAGACAGCTTCAAGTTGGCGAAGAAAGCAGCTTCAGCTTCATATCTGGATTTTTTGATGCGAAAAAATGGAAATTTCTTAGAGGTGCCAACACGAGTACCACGTACAACTGTACTGGAATGACATGACTGTGAAACAGGGTTTACCTGCTTAAATTCCATCTTGCTTTTAGAGTCTGTGTTTTCTCACACTCATAATTTTTTGGTCCCCGTTGTGCAGAATAACATAGATTTGTACTTGTTTTTCAAAGTAGAAAAATACAAAGTACCCACTGCATGTCAGTCACGTGACTGATAAATCCAGTTATCAAATCAAAGTTACATCCTGGTGTTTTTCTACGCGTCTTCTTGTGAGCACGGATTGTTTGAATTGCTCTTTTTTGGTTTTGTTTTGGATTATTTGGTTTGGCTTGGTTTTGTTTTTGCCGTTCAGATTTTGGATGGCAGTTTCTCATTAGTTTCCCTTATCCGGATACAGGCTGGCAGTGGCTCCTATTAATATTTATTAAAAGCGGCAAGATCATTGAGGTCTCTGGAGTGAAATCACAGCCAGGTTTTATGAAAACAGATCCGAAAAGCTGAGGACTGATGTGAAAATGTCTGAAATGGATGATTTTGGAAGCATATTCACATTCCTAAAAAGTGTCTTCCCTCCGTTTGTGTCTGCCCACTGACTCTCAGCTAGTCATCCCAGTGTCTTTCTGTTCGCCAGTTTCTTATATGAGAGGTGCGGAGGAGCAAGGACTCTCCTCCAAGAAGTCTAACTATGCACACATGCAAATCTGACACATGCAAGTGGCCAAAATAAGCTGCTGCTGATGAGACAAGTGAATATGAGCAGCTTAAAATACCTCCTTGTTAAAGGCCCTACTATTTTTAGAAAGGGCAGGAAGGCATAAAGATGAAGATGATCCTCCCACTCACTAAAGTCAGGTCAGAGAGTAATTCAGCTGTCTCGAACTATCTGAATAGCTATGTGTAACCCATGACCTTCAGCCAGGCGGTACCTGATTCAGTAGGACACTATAGATAGACATGATCAACACGCTTGAAATACTGATACTCACACAGCTTGTGTCACTTTTTGGATAGGATCATCCACAGACATGTTTGGTGTTAGGCTGTGTAACGTTTCAGCTATTCCATTATAATCAAACACAAACTCAGACTCCCCACGTGGGAGAAATGTGAAACGGCTTTCCAGGTGAGATTTGAACATTCTCCAATTTACAACCACAGTTCTGGTTTTTAACATGTCAATTCTTGAAAAATTCACAAGTGGGTAAAAACGTTGTTTTTCATTATTAGCTGATTATGGGAAATCAACTCCCTATAATAAACCTCTATAAGTAAGGCTGCTAGTCAATCTGCATGGTATTTGCAGACTCCTCTCATTAACTACACAATCAAGAGATCAACATAGCACTTCAAGAGGTAGTTTTCTAGAATGGAACGCAAGCAACAAATGCACATTTCTGGCATGCCAACTGGCTCCCTACTTTTGGAAAATTAAAACTCCATCCCATTTAAAGGGCCAGTGGCAGAGTTCACACCAACAGGTGCTTAAAAAGACATCTGTTTGGATCAGACTCCGTGATAGTTTGTGTTCAAGCATTTCCTGGCAGTCAGATTCTTAATGAGATTGTTTTTGAATAACATCCTATGTGCTTGCTGGACTTAGAAATCTCAGATGCGCAGAGGGTAAACTCTTTCAGATTATTTTGATATCATTTTATACATTTAAAGTATGGTGTTATTACTTATAGCTCTTGAAGATGCACCCCCCTCCCAATCCTTACACTTGGGCTCTGTAAAATTAGGCTGGAAATATCCAAATAAGTGGTCAGCCATTTGTTGCACATCAGAACTACCTGAGCATCTTTTAGAAACTGCTTAATCTGGGTACCACTACAGATTGAGTGAATCAGTAATCTCTGGAAGCAGTATCAAATATCCACATTTTTAAAGCTCCCTGGATGATTCTGATGCACTGTAAGGGTTGAGGACCATAGTTCTGAACACCTCAAGGGGTTCCAGAAGCCACAGAAGGATCTTGGGGTGGATTAAAACGGTCCAGGGAAATCAGTAGCTGCCCAGTGAATCTGGGGTATGATGCATTCATGTCAAAAGTATTGGGGGTTATTATAACTTGTCCTTTGCTCCTACCCCTGTCATTCTAGACCCATAGGAAAGAACAGTAGCTCTGTAATGGCTATCACAGCTTTTTAAAAAAGCAACATGGATAAAAAGACATGCAGAATGCAAAACTTACAAGGTGGTTACTTTGTGTTTGCCCTTCTACAGCAAAATCCTTTTGACTTAGTTTACAGTTACTGTCTGATCATATTTTAATTAATGGATGGGAGGGACGTATTAAATCTCATATTAAACAGTAGACATTTTCTTTGTAGCCATTAAAATCTGCTTAAATATATACTGCCTTCTATACTGGAAACACCAATTACAGTTAAGTATTTCATGTGTTTTAATGAAAAGAGATTGGTAACCTTGTCATCATACTTTGCTAATCTTCGTTAATTACTTTGCTGTTATTTCTAGGTAAATTTTTAAAGTACTACTAGTTGGGTGATTTTTATCTAATGGTTGGTGAGATACATTTTGAAGGGGCCTTTGGATAATTGTGCTCTTGATCTTCACTTCTGCTGCTATTTGCCTCAGGTCATTTTGGGGGAAGCCCAACAACATAAGAACATGACCAAGCTGTTCCTCTTTTCTAACCAAGGAAGTGCTAGTTCCTTAGTACTTCATACCTATTTTTTCTCATTGAGGTTACCCTTTAGGGAGTCTCATCATCACACAGACTCTGTATACTTTTCCTTTTTGAATCAACAGCTTTGTTTTTTCACCATGGAAATCACCACCGGAAGAGACCTTTGTACAAAAGCTAAAAGTATAGAAGAATTAGCTTCGGCAGGTATCTAGCCACTCAAGCTTGTAACTTGGAGGGACATTTTCATTCTTTCTTATTACTCAGGGATTATTTGAAAATAATTTGCATCCCTCAATTATGTTCTACTTCCTTTAATTAATGATAATTTTGAATGGGAAAGGAGACTAAATAAACTGGTTAAGTAAATGGCTGCTGTTCTATAAACTCCTTCTGCCTAAAGGAGGTAAACGTGGAACACAAGTTCCTAGATAACGTACCACTGTGGGGTACCGGGGCCAAGAAATAAGGCCCCACTTCACGCAGTTCTAAAATCCACCTGTGCAAAAGTGTTTCTGAGAGGGACAGTTGCCAAGTGCTAAGGGAAACATCTATCAGCAAGACATACTGTTCCTGATGTTTCCTTGCTTAAAATCTAGCAAGGAGTATAAAGTATATTTTCTAATGTTCCTTAGTTTGAGATACAGATTTTTTTTTAAAGAATATTATTATTTACAGCTGATCCTTGAACAGTGCAAAGCTTAGGGACGCCAACCTTTCTACAGTCAAAAATTCACATATAATTTATAGTGGGGCCTCCATATGCACAGTCTTCCTGAATCTGCCATTCTGTGTCTGCCCGTTCACCAACTGGATCACACAGTATTTACTAATGAAAAAAATCCACAGATCAGTGGACTCACGCAGTTCAAACCTATGTTATTCAAAAGTCAACTGTATTCATGTATTTGTTTTAATATGGGGTTAGAGCTATGCATCCTCTTTCCAGAGAAGTGTACATACTGACGTACCCTGTCTGCATCTAACTTGAGGAAGCTTAAAAGCCCTCAAAATAGGTTAACAACATGAAAATAACTATACAACAAGGGAGTAAGTGTGTTGGGTGAGGAAGACAGATAATATATTATTTCTCAAACATGCCTGACCATAAGATTCACCTGGGCCTATGGTGATCAGATCCACCTATCTGTAAGGGGTACTAGTTAAATAAATAGTGAGATATCGAACTTTTAAGAACTGCTTAAAAAGAAAATGATTTTTCTAGAAAAAAGCGCCTAAGATCTAAAAAGCCTGATTTTTCACCTCCTCTTTATATTTCTGCTTATATACCCGAGGAGGTTCTAAAAGACATGAAAATGTAAAGGCACAGGTGTAAAGAGGATGAGACCAAGATATACATACAAAGTCTAGAAACAGAAAAATACTGGAATAATCTTAACCTCTCTTTCTCCATCTAAAACTACACATCTATCCAGTATTACATTTACTTCCTTTCAGAAACAGATAATAACCCTTAGTTTGCATTTCCTATCTCTTCCAACAGCAGCAGCTTCCACAAAACCAAGGAGTAAGAATCAGACGTCCTTTTTTATTCACACAATTGTTTTTTGTTGTTGCCATATACCCATGAAATCAATTCTGTCTCCATTTCAAAAAGAAAATAACAGAATTATGTTCTATTCCTTATGACTGACCATTTTTATTAAGAAGCAAACACTTCTCCTTAATACTGAAAACCAAATACAAAGATTCAATAACCCAGTGCAAAAATGTATGGAAATTAAGATTTTTATCTTTTCCTTGATATTAAAATAACAGAAATGGTTCAGAATTATTTTTCAAAGCAAACAATAGTATGTGCAGCTTTAAAGTAAGGTCCAACAACCAAAGGAACATAACAGTAGTTCCAGATGGGATACGAAAGCCAGTAATTAAGAGCCAATGGAAGAGCAGACTAATGAGGCCCTATCTGATGTAGCCCAGCTCATCTGTCCTGCAAATCAGTTCCAGAAGTCTGCTCTAAATGTCTCTGAGGAAAGTCAAGTAAAGTCTTAGCACCTTCTAACCCACACGCAAATCAGTTCCCACTGCTTTGCCTGTGCTTCTCTGCTCTTGGTGTATTTTTATTTCCTGTTGAATTTCATTTGATCAGTTCTTGGGGAAACCTATAAAATGTTTCAGTAAATACACATGGGCTCTCATCTATGACTAAGTTTCCCATTCCATAACTTCTAATAGGTAAGACGAGATAATCGATGTCTCCACTGGACTTGAGCATGATGCAAGAGCACATCCTAGTACACACACGAAAGCTCATGACTCGCGGTCCTGTTTCCGTCAGTGACTCTGTACTTACA